TGGGCTGTTTATTCCATTTTATTTCATTTAATTTTTATCACATTTGTGGGTAATTTACTGCATATTTGTGAATGACGCTCAGTTTCATTTTGCCAGGGACAGATTCTTAAAAAAAGAAAAGCCCCCAAATTTCCTTTTTGTTTTGTCATTGGGTTATATTAGTTATAATAAATAATAACTCAATTGACATGACAGCCAAGCCAAAGTTCAAAATTCAGCTATAAAGAAGAGCTCGAAAAGAAAACCCAATTTTTCCCCCTTAGCCTAAGTACATGTACGTGTCCAGTTTGTTTACATGTCGTAGTGCCCTTTTACCGTTCTGACAGTCACTGTAGAACTTGCATGTTCAGAACCAGAAGGGAGATAACTGTGTAGAAAATTATATGAGAATAATGCTGTTCCGGCTCCAAACACATACATCTATAGAGTCTAGTGTCAGAAGGATGGTTAACTCACATGCTTTATCACTGAGTTAACACCCTTCTGGCTCCGAACAGACAATATTTGTTTTGCTTGACTACAAAGGCAGTTGTTATGTGCTTTTTATCATTTTCTCTTTGTAGTATGAGTGATTCCATGTACCTTGAACCCTCGCTGGTTAATTTTATTTGTTTAGAGCATGTCATAAAAAAATGGCGTTCCAAAGCATTATCAGGGAATGCACAGTTACATGTACATATCAATAGAAATTTATGATTATGAGTACGACAGTACAGTGCATAATTGTGATGCCTGTATTAGATGGTAATAAATATTTATTATAACAAAATGTCTCGTACACATGTAACTATCCCATGTGGGTACTTTTATTAGCCTGAATTTAATGAACCTTGTGGATAGCTATATGAATTTGAAGAAGAAAAAAAGTATGATTCACATAATTTTGTTTTGTCTGAAGATTGATTCCCTTAATAATAATAATAATAATAATATTTAATTTTTATATAGCGCTTAATACAAATGTCTCTTAGTGCTTTACAAATATACTTTTAGTACTGGTGTTGACTAAAACAAAAGAAAACAAAAACAAAAACCAAAACGCAAATCAGTGAACAGTCAATATTTGAAATACACCTGTACAGTACATTTTTAATGATTCTTTGTCTCGTCCTTTGAGATCATTGTAATCAACAGTTGACTGGCATATTTTTAAGCAATATTCATGTTGTAAGTTTATAAGCAACTCAGTGAAAAAGAAGAAGTTAAATTTAACTGGTAGTGGTGGGTTTATAGATGGTGAATATACATGTAGAACATTTCAGTGAATTTCCTGGCAATGTTCAAGCTATTTTGTACCTTTAAACATTTAAGGGATCATTGACAAAGAGCTGTGATTCACAGCGATGACAGTCAGATCGTATAGATTTCACTAGACACATGAGCCGCATCCACACACACCCATTTTTATAACCGAGAGGAATGGTTTGAAGTTAGTAAACTTGAGTGTGATATACAGTATAAGGGGGTTGTATATCTACTCTAGACACTTGCATGTATCAACAATAAAGACTTGTCTTACTTAAAGTTTTGGTCATGGTTTTCAACTTTTTAATTTTTTTTTTATAGATACCTGTAGTTAAGTTAGGGATTTTAATTACAAAACTTTTGAATTTACTCAAAGCTATGAACAACGAGCGATCTTATTTCATTTTTAAAACTTTGAATACGCTTTGTTTCTGTTGATTGTGAACCCTCTTCGTTGTTTATAACTTTGAACATGGCTAATATGATGTAAAACTATGACATACTCGTGTGAACATTGCTAATATAATGTAAAACTATGACATTCCCGTGTGAACATTGCTAATATGATGTAAAACTATGACATTCCCGTGTGAACATTGCTAATATGATGTAAAACTATGACATTCCCGTGTGAACATTGCTAATATGATGTAAAACTATGACATTGCCGTGTGAACATTGCTAATATGATGTAAAACTAACATTCCTGTGTGAACATGGCTAATATGACTAGAAAGAATTACCCTACTTTGATAATCTCTTTAAATACCCAGCTGTTTCTCTTTCAGTTTTGCTATTATGATTACACACATTCGCGCAACAAACGTTCCAACCGCACACCAGGATAAAAGGGCTCAAATTGTGACGATATGCTGTAATTGTTTCCTGTATTCTAAAAGCGAAACCCACTATTCATAAAAAAAAAATTAATGAATAATGTAACCAACTGTTCTCATACAGTTAGCACCTGAATTATTCATACATGTACATGTACCCTTACTAAGATTCTGTAGTTTTTAAAGTATGTGAAAATTAATCCATCCCAATTCATGTTACTTGAGAATGTGACATATTAAATTTTACATCTAAAAGTATTCAACTAAGGCTCTATTTCAACCAGTCCACTTCTCGTTCTTCAGTCACAAAAAACACAAACAAAAACATATAATTAAGTACAAGTTCGCCGACAAGTCATTGAAACGAATGTATTGAATTTATTAACACATGTTCACACAACAGATAAACGAAGAAATCACATTATCCCCAATTGCCAGTATAGGTTGGTTTGGCAGTGTGACCGAGTTTAAGTTGCTGGTGTGAACACACCCCTAGTATGTTAATGTGTGTCCCATGAGATGACGAGCGCTTTGTGTGATTGTGGGTCCCACCATGGTCCGAACCTGACAATGACAGATGATATCCAGGGCTGGGATTTCCATGGCGAATCGTGCCAGGGAAACGGGGGAAAAACATTCTTGTGAACTCCACAAAAAACTGGTCCAATGTTACAGTATTCAATGCTGCAGTTTAACATGCTGGCACATACATTTACACATATATGTATATGTGATATTATGTGTACATGTATGTGTACATGTATGTGCCATCGCAGTGTATACATGTTTATGAAATGTACTCAGAAGTGGAAGGTCCAACATTGTGTAGAAGTAAGTTCATATCATGAATCACCCTTGAAGTGGAGAAGAATATGTACATGTACATTAAGTGCAGAGAGAAGGTTTTTTTTACAGTTTCATTATGACATCTATACATTTTCCATTCTATTTCTCTTATTGTTGTAATTTGTATGAATATCATATACATGTATGTTACTTGCACTGTTACAATTCAGTCTGTATGACCGCCAGTCATGTTTTTCTAAAATAAACCTTGATTGGGATGCATTGAATTGAATGGAAAAGGAAGAGGAAGAAATATTGAAAAAATGATGATGGAAACATGAGATCATGAATAATCTTTGTCTAGTGTCATGTATATGTACATGCTGTCATAAAATCTTGAGGTACTATATAGTGATGGATTTTCTAGCACTGCAATACCCAATCAAATACTGTTTTCAGGACTATTGAAAGTGCATTTGTAGGAGCTCAATTCTAAGAAGCGTCCAATTTTATATCGTTGAAACCTACTTCGTGTCTGTCAAATTGGAGTGTATTCGAGACCAGTTTCACATGGATGTATTTACAATTTTAGAGGTCACGGTGTCTATAGCTTGTTCAGACTATGGGAAATTGATACAAAACCTGTATGAAGAAACGTTGTATTAAGAATCATCGCTTAGCAAAAAGGGGACGCACCGACTGGATAACAACATTGTATTCAAGCCCCTCTAAAGTTTTGAGAGCCCCAAATTGGCCAAAAATTTGATGGCGAAATTTCACTTAAATTGTATGATAATGTGAAAGCGGATATAATTTAAGACACACTTCTGAAAAGATCCCTCCCAAATGTGTTTTAAGACAAATATTGATAAAAGAATACATAATTTGGATTTTCTGTTGAATGCGGGAAACCTAAATTTTGTATTCTTTCATCAATATTCAACTTCTAACACAAATGTTTTGAAAATCCTTGCAGAAAAGTGTCTTAAATAACATCCTCTTCCACATTAAAATACAATTTAAGTGAAATTTTGCCAACAAATATTTAATATTATACTGTAAAGAAACATGTCAAGGAACTAGCTTTGAAAAGGTCAGTCGACATGACGGCCAGCCAATCACCAGTGTGCGTTCACAATAAGCCCATCCCAGTTATACAATTTCATACAACATTCAGATCAGAACGGGATCCTGATTCATATTGGATTTTCATTTAAAATGATACTCAGACATGCGTTTTGCCTTTTACAATGTTTTGTTATGCCACATTCAGACTGGACATTAAAAAACGTACATGTACATGTTTTTGTACATCCATATGATGAATGTTTGTAGTGTGAATGAGGGTTAGCTAGATACATATATATTGTCATGAGAATAGAAACCTGCCAGGATGTAAATTGATGCCTGAAAAGCAATACTAAAAGTCTTGGAATGTGAAGTAAACAGATCTTTTTCCTCCCCAGTTGATTTAACATGATTCTAGATGTACTGTACATATCATACTATTTGTTAACTCATTCTGGTTGTTTACAGACTGAATACTGAATATCAATTAAAGCCCATTAACAGTTTGATATGATAAACTGTCTAAAAAAAAACCTGCCATGGAAAAATAAATGCAATGCAATAAATACAGTGTCAAGGAATAATAAACGGGGATGAAAAAAATTCATGTACTGTACATGTACAGTATGTGCTGTATATGCATACTATGCAACAAAGGACCTATATACTGTTGTAATCATTTTAATAAGAGCCATCTTATGCTGCAGGGGTTATATGAGGCAATTTATTGCCTATAAACGAGGCTCTAAGGGAAATTTTCACAGTGATAAGGAAACAGTTTGATTCTGTTGAGAGATACGCACACTATCAAAAGCTAATATCAATTTTAGGTCAATTTATAGTATCCAACCTTCTAAGAGCTTCTTACTTTTACCTGGCTTTGAGAAGAAGGCTGTACAATGACAATAATGGGCTACTTGCAGCCGACTACATTTATTGTATGATACAAAATCTGTGAAATTGTATCTTCTGTCTTTACTAAAACTTAATAAAACCAAGTTTTTACCTGTGTTTTATAACATTAATATTTATTTTTGTTCTCCTCTTGTTCTCTTTGTTCTACAGGTCACCTGACAGACAGATTTTATGGACACAGGAGGTAAGAAAAGATATTCCTACAGTGAAGCCTGTATACAGTCAAACCTGCTTTAATGACCACCTGTCTATAAAGATCACATATTTCATATTCTCATTGAAGCCTTCACTAAAGAAACCTGTACATAAAGACCACCTGCCTATAAAGACCATTTGTCATTTCTCCATTGAGAGGTCTTTGTATACAGGTTTCTGGGCCCTCTCTTACAAAGAGTTGATATCAATCGCAACTATGTGCATAAGAGATAGGAGACTGCAAACTTGCGATTGATTGGAGGACTTGCAATTGATTGGGATCAATCGCAACTCTTTGTAAGACGGGGCCCAGGTATAAAGAACAGGCAAGGACTACAAGAATGATAGTCTTTCTATGCAGGTGGTCTTATGTACAGGTTCCTGTAGAACAGTGTACATCTTTTAATAAGAAACCATTTAAAAGGGAAACAAACAAATGTGGTCTTCATAGATACTGTAGGTAGTAGTCTTTTTAAACAAGTGGCCACTAAATCAGGTTCAGTCACACCAATGAGACCGACACTTGACTGACTCCAGACTGAACAAAACAATTACATGGTTGGCTTCGAGTTGGTCTGGGGGTGTTTCACTAAGCCTTTTTTCAATGACAAATGATATAAATCAGTGACAAATCTGCTGATAACTGATCAGAAGCAAGGATTTCAGTAGCTTTTAACAGAAACTGTCTTTTGTCACTGATGACAAGTTTTGTGAAACACCCCCTGGAAACAACCCCCTTAGTTTGGTGATGTGACTGAGGTATAAGGGCTAGTCCCATTTGACCAACAACAACAAGAATGACTGTAACTACAAGTCATTCTCAAATTGGTATTTTGAAGTGTACCTGTATGTTAAAAAGGTCTTGAATACCAGTGTCTCAGGAGTCACCTAAAATCAAATCAATTTATGCTCATGAGTCATCATCACTGATTATATTTTGATAGAATATGGTTAAACAAGGGCAATTTTGTTCTACCTAAGCTTGAGACATTAAAAAGTGCAACACCCCGCCCTCTCTCTCTCTCTCTCTCTCTCTCTCTCTCCCACACACACGTTTTCATCATTGTATCTCTTTGTTGATTAGTTGTCCTCTTTATCCCACAACATAAACCCCAACTTAACTGTGAAATTGTCCTTTTCTGCAGGTAACGGAGAGGGGCTGAACTGCTCCAACGCCAGGCCGGTCAAGCTCGTTGTCGTAGGAGATGGTGCCGTCGGAAAGACCTGTATGCTCTGGTCCTACACAAGAAATGCATTCCCTAAAGAATATGTTCCCACAGTGTAAGTGAAGGTTGGAGGTTGAAAAGGAGGGGTGTGGATAGGGAGGGGCGGGGGGGGGGGGTGATTGTAGAAGAGGCAGCATAGGAGTAGGGTGGAGAGGAGAGGAGAGGAAGAGGGATGTGGAGACTAGACCTAGGGAGTGTTTCACAAAGACTAAGATCGACTTTTAAGTTGGACTTAACTATGACGGGCTGTTCATGCCACTATTTTCTCTCATCATTTACTGGCATTGGTTTCTCAAGGGACGTACCAATCATGGTCACAAATCTACAGAACTTTCTTTTTTTGATAGTTCATTATTGAAGGAAAAAATATAATCTAAAGATCATAATCGTGAAACCAATGGTGAGAGCAACCAGTGGAAAGAACAGCCTGCCATAGTTAAGTCCAAATTAAAGTTGATCTTAGTCTTTGTGAAACACCCCCAATATGATCTGGTCCCACACAATACATTTAGGTGGGGGGGGGGGGGGGGGGGAGATGGTGGATGGATTAAGGAAAGAGAAGGGGGATGGAAGAGACTAGACATTTGTAGACTGGACATGTATGCTCTACTCCAAGTAACTTATTGTTTTCCCAAAAGGCTGTCTTGTGAAAGCGTGAAGAAAGCTCATTATCAACAAGGATGCAGGTAGGGGAGGGGTGGTTGGAAGAAGAGGAGGAGGAGGTGGAGGAAGGGGGGGGGGGGGTTACCTTGATTGAACCTGGAGAGGGGTTGGGACCTGCACACCTGACCTGACTCTGGTCCTGCACACATGATGCATACCAGAAAAGTTTGATTTGCACATCCTTCTCACACTTCCCTTGTTTTAGTGTTGCTAAATTGTAAAGGGGTGGGGGAAGGAGGGGCGATGTGGCACCCACTGATGTAATTATAATACCCAGAAATTCAAAATGACCATTATTATTTTATGGCTTTCTTTCATTTGGTAGTAAGAAGATGCCTTATTAAAGTGCTTGGTAATTCCATGTCGTGTGAACAAATTGAAAGCAAACCTGACACTTGGTTTTATCTGTAGTTGGCTGGCATCGAGTGTGTGTGGAGAGAGATTTATGCCTACGATAAGACGCTGAGATTGAATCTAGTTTCATTTTCTGATCGCACTTAGGAGGTGTTTCCTAATGAAAACAAGGATCAGGTTTGCGATTAATTCCATGTTAAAGAATCATGTGAGAGATATTGAAGGAGAGACGGGGAGAAAGAGGGAGTGATGGAGGGGGAGAGAGGGAGGAGAGGCGAATAAAGAAAGATAGAACATGAATGGGAGAAAGAGAGAGTGAGATAAATATGAAAAATAAGATATATAAAACATGATTGGGGGGGGGGGGTTGGGGGAGAGAAATTGCAAATTTTTTGAGGGGTGGGGGAGAAGAGAAATTTTGAGATATTTTTTGAGGGGGGGGGGGGAGGAGGAGATAGAAAATGATCTAGAGGCACAGAGAGAAACAGAGTAAATATGTGTTCTTTAAAATAAAATTGTGTCCAAAATCTCTCATTTATTGCAGTCTGGTATTGATAGTGGTAAAACCCCAGTATTCAAGTAACAATAACAAAATATATATATTGAAAAAAAATGTATTTTAAGATGAAAATGGTTTAGTTTAAATACTACTTATTCCTTAAACATTTCTGGTTTAGTACAGTTTCAGTTTAGTTGGAGGCATTACAGATTCACCTAAAAATCCCACACTTAGAAATACCCAATGTTATTCTGAGGTTTTCCTTTAAAATGCAACGTAAACATATTGCAGTTACAGTAATCACAACTTTGTGGTTTTGGTATTGCCAATACTGCAACATGGTCTGTCATAATGCAGCAGTGCAATTTTCTGTGAAGTTGTCAAGATGATTGTAAATAAGTATTACCACATTTTCATACTCTTAAATGAAACTTTTAGAAAGATATCGCTTTTTATTATTGAAAATCGGCATCCATATTTGAAAAGGGGACACAATAGGCAATTTTCATACTGTAATTAAAGTTAATGCATAAATCTTTGTTAAGTGCCTCATTACAAATTCTTTCATTCACCTTTTACAATTGAATCTATTTCAGTAGTCAGGATACAAATTGCAAGCCATAATGCTTGTCCTACCTAATAACACATAATGTATGCAATTCGCATTCTGACTATTGAAATACAATTATTTGTAAAAGGTTAATGAAACAATTTATATCAAGGCACTTAACAAAAATGTAAGCATTGAACTAGATTACATTACGAACATGGCTAATTCCATATGATACATGTATTTTCATGACTATCGGACCAAGAGAGAATTTAGATTGAATATATGATTGATAAATCTTCCAAGTTTATATAGACAAGAGTTGGTAAGGATACTTCTGCCACACTCAGCCTCTTTTACATACAGCCCTAAATAGGTAATTAAGATGATTAAAATCATAGATTTCATAGTATTTTTTCACCATGAAACAGTACTAACGTTCCATTTTTTTCTTCTTGTTTTTTAGGTTTGATAACTTTTCACAACTAATGAAAGTTGGAGATGAGAACGTGAATCTAGGATTGTGGGATACGGCGGGGCAAGAAGACTACGACAGATTGAGACCACTCTCATATCCACAGGTAAAAATATAGGAATATATCCAAGAAAAATAGTACCGGTATACAAATATTGAACGTTTATGAGTGAGATAGTATAGTATTAATGACTGCTTTGAGAGAAATAGTTGTTTTATTACGCTCAAGGGAAGGTTAGAATTGTGCTATTCCCCGAGGCTTGCCGAGGGGAATAGCCCAATTGTAACCTTCCCGAGAGCGTATGAAAACAACTATTTCTCGAATATTAAAGCAGTCATTAATACTTTTATATGCCGAAAAAAAATAGACTAAAAAATAAAAAATATTTTTTTTTTTGTTTTTTGTCGAAGGTGAGAGTCGAACCCTTGCGTACAATGAGTGATGAATCTTACACCAACGCCTTACACCACTCGGCCATCGCGCGCTGTTCACATGCTTGGCAGTTTTGTACAATATATACATTAAAATGGATTGAAACCGGCTTCGGCGTGATGAATGCTTCGCAAAAGCACCCTTCTTTTACTTTTGCAATGCATATTGGCACGAACTTAGATCAAGATCTATCGGCAGATGTTGTTTTTTTGTTTTTGGAAGTTTATTTTCGTCTTCATGTCAACAATGCAAGATAAAATTGTCGGTAAGATCGATCGAGATTCAATTGTATTGAAATTACCGACCAATCCTCCGCACACATACGGTATCCTCGATCGCTCAAACCATTTTTTAACATGTAAACCTATGGGGTAACCATGGAGGCTGACCTATTTTTTTAATAACCATGGTTATTAAAAATATTAAATGTTTTATGCATGGTTACCGGGAATTTTACAGGAACAGTTGAAGTTTATGAATGCAATTCGACCAATCAGATGGCTGGATTTCTTAAGTGAGGTATATAATAAAAAATATGTCATGTCACAGAATCTGACCACTTTCATACCGACAGGTAAAATGACCCAGGAAAGAATATTTAAAAGTATTATACAAATCTTCAATTGCTATGAATAAGATAGTAAATCTATTTCATGAGTCTGACCCATCTGATATCACAACTATGTACATTGTACATAGGAGATGGGAGACTGCAAACTTGATTGGAGGACTTACGATTGTTTTGGATCCCAACTCTTGTAAGACGGGGCCCTAGAGTATAATGGACAAGATTTATAAAAAAAAGGAAAGAGAAATGAAACAGGAACAGAGGATGAATAGGAGCAAAGAGGGAAAAACCCATCTACTTCTTTTTGGTTTAGAGAGAATCTGTAAGATGATCACTGAGATACTTTACTGCATTTCTCTGTGAGAAATTGATAACAAAAGTATCTCATTTCCCCTGTAATACAAGAACAAACGAGTCCCCACATACTTAATTACAAGGACAGTGCATTAAATGTACTAAATGAACATACTCCAAGTACATGCAAGTTATGGGTTGTGATATTAAGATTGTGAGAAGAGTGGAAAAGTGTTCAGCTGCACAACAATATTTTTAAAAATTTTATAAACTTATTTTTGATTGATATCAATCGCAACTATGTACCGGTACATAAGAGATAGGAGATTTGTATACTTGTGATTGGTTCGAGGACTTGCGATTGATTTTGATCAATCTCAATTCTTTATAAGACGGTATGATCAGTTGTATTTGCTTGTCAGTATAGATTCATGGAGTGAAGACTTTGTAATATGCAATATATGAGTTGTACATGTATGTATTGAAGGTCCTATCTAAACCAAAATTAATAAAATTTGTCCTTTCCCCCATATTTCTCCATGTTACTTTCATAGGGAAAGCAATTTAAGCAATCGCAATAATTCACTTGCCCTAATTGGACACGCAGACCTTTACCGAAATGATTAGAAGACAGGTTCTGCTAAAAGGTGGATTAGATTTTACTTAACTGTCCTTAAACCATGAGTAATTCTGAAAAGTTAAATTTGGGTTATATATATTAATCGTTCAGTCAAATTTATCAAACCACCTGCTGAAAAATTATTAGTACATGTGCATGTAAGGGTGCATTTAATTGACACTTTTTCACCCTAGAATCACGGTTTCTAAAGACGTTTAGTTTAAAACGCAATGCGTTCAAGCGATTTTTTCGTCGGTCGTAAAAATAAACGTGTTTGAATACACAAACATGAAACGCTGAAAAAGATGCGTTTTGTATCATGATTCTGCAGAATCACGGTCGCTAAAATTCGATTGAACGGACGGAGTTCTCAATCATGATTGTATGATGGAGCCTGTTCCGATTTGGGCAAAAACCGCGCGCCTGCTTTTCATGCAATTTGCGTTTACTATGCCATGCTCTTTGTCGTGGCCTGTTCTGTTATGTTATACCTTCTAAACTAAGCTTGATATCAACTAAGACTTTGTACATAAGAGAAGGATATTGTATTATCTGTTTCAGATTTCTAAGAGGATTTGAGCAAGGTTTGCGGTTACCGTAATTAACGTTGTATAAACCACCCTCGTGTATTAACCGCACCCCTCTTTTTCGCCTTTAAAAAAAAAAAAAAAAAAAATAATACTTTTTTTTTTTTTTGCTGAGATTTTTTTTTGTGTGTGTAAGATCATTATTGTAAATTAAAAAAAACAGTAAGAGACCTAGGATAGAACCTTGTGGTACACCATGTAATAGAAGAAAAATTGGAGGAATTATTTTTATAAACTACATATTGAGATCTATCAGAAAGATTACTTTCAAACTAAGATGACAGACAAATTTGAGTGTTGTTCTAGCTTCCGAGTGGTGAGTCAACACACCGATTACCGAGCTGGGAGACATTGCCAGGCATAGCGCCAGGTAGAGGGGCATAAATCGAAACTTAATATATATATATATATTTTTTTTTTTGGTGTACTGTGTATAAGCCGCACCCCCGACTTTTAATTTTTTCGGCGGCAAAAAGGTGCGGTTAATACATCGTTAATTATGGTACACCACATTTTCCATGACGGGATTAATTGGTCCTGAAAAGGGCACACACATGCTCTATCTCCACATTTCAATAAGGTTGTACCTATTGCACATGAGTGGGCCCTTTTCAGGGCTAACTAACAATGTGAAAAGAATATGTGGTGTAATCGCAAGCTTCGCTCAAATCTATCATCACCATTGAAGCCTTCAAAGATTCTAAGAGGACTTAAATGTATAATAATAATAATAATAATAGCTAGTTCTTATATAGGCCTGGTACTTTTAATACATAAATTGATGTCACTATTTGACTTGAGAAGCTAATTTCTATATGTTCCTTCCTCTCTCTCTTCTCTACATTTCTTTCCCACCTACAGACAGATATATTCTTAGTATGTTACAATGTAGTTGGTGTCGCATCACAAGCAAATGTAGCAACTAAATGGATACCTGAGTTACAGCATCACGCACCAGGTGTTCCTTTTATCTTAGTCGGTAAGTACGGTATTAGGTAAATCATTAATCATGTAATATTATATTTAGTATGGTTTTAATTCAAACCAGAACCATTTCAATAGAACCAGAACATTCTGCAAAATTAAAATTTTGTATACTGGTATTGTAAACCACAGTAATTTTCCAATATTGTGAAATCTTCAGAAACAATGCCCACGAGAGGGCGCTAGACCTCTGACTATACAAGAGCCCTTTTTTTTTTAAAACTTACTTTTTTAAGACTTACAGGGGATTTGCTTCTACCCTTGTGCAATAAACAAGGTACAGGATTCAAATCCTGACCCCAGCACTAACGCCCTTTGGCAAGTTATTAATCTACATTTGCCACTCTCTATCCAGGTGAGGTCAAGGATATTTTTGTACTCTGCAAACAGGAGAGTTGTCCTTGACTGCATCACAATCCACTGAACAAATTGCCAGTTTGAGATTTGCATGGATTTAGTGATGTCGTATTTCAGACATTGATATCACTGTTATTGTTGGTCCAATTTATGTTGAACTTTCACCATGCTGTTTCTCTTATCCTTCTACTTTCACACAAATAAAGTTATTACAAAGGTTGGTTGCCCTTTCATGTGATATGATTACCGTAACTTGATTCATGTCATCTCAGGTACCAAAATTGATCTGAAGGACAAATTTTATTTCAACTTTCACCATTCTGCTTCTCTTATTCTTCTACTTTCACACAAATTGACTGATATTAATCAAGGTTGGATTGCCCTTTGATGTGATATAATGATTACAAATGTACCTTAAAGGGATCTGGTAACTTTGTCACAGATTTTGAAACAAAATCCTGGATTTAGCTCATGCTGCAATGATAATTATAAACCTTAAGGTCAGTCAGGAACCCCATGATTTGTACAAGCTGATCGCCTCTTTGATTATCAAGATGTTTATGATTGGAAATCGTAAACAAAATTTGCGTTTTCCTAATGGTTTTCATAACACTACAGTCTATTGGGGAAAACGAGTATGGTAAAACCGGTCACTCAAAGATTTGTACTTTTTTGAGGCACTTCTTGATCATTGTGAACCTCAATTTTTTTAGGGCTTCAATATTACACCATATCACAAATACTGATAACACGTAGGGCCATGCATCTCAGATTTAACATTGTTAAACGATGCCTTTAATGTTGGATTGCCCTTTGACGTGATATAATGATTACCATAACTTGACGTTTCTCTTCTCAGGTACCAAAATAGATCTGAGGGACGCCCCTGACCATGTCATCTCCCCTGCAGACAAGGGCAAGCTACCCTTCAGGAAAGAACAAGGCACGAGGGAAGCCAAGAAACTAGGAGCAGTAGCCTACATGGAATGCTCAGCTTTAACACAGAAAGGCCTTAAAGATGTAAGTAGCCAGAACTGTGTAGTGGTAGTTATTTTACCTGATTGCTAAGAAAGCATAAATGCTTGTTAGTAAGCAGCCAGAGGACCGACCGCTTTGGGTCATCTCCGAAAGACCTGGTAATGAGGATTAAAAAGCCTTACCAAAGGGCACTAGCGCATCGACTTGGTTTCGAAACCCGGGTCGCCAGATTACAAGACCACTGCTCTACCGACTGAGCTATCGCGCCTCCTCCCACATTTGCTCCGGCAACATTAGAGTAGTGTCGTCCAGGTTACTGGTTCTAAACGTCAGAGCCTGCTATGAGGTTCACTGAGAATTTTTTCAAGGCAACGGGCTGGAGTAGGGTAAATTCAGTGTTTGGGGCTGGTGTGATCACGACACCATAGTCCAGTATGACATACTTTAGAACTCTACAGTGCGTCCCAAAAAAAACTATACACTTTTGAAATGGCTGCTGAATAAAAAAATATATGATTCTGGGGGGAAAGTTTTATATGTATGGAAAGCTCATAAACACAACTTTCATATGACACCAAAAAATCTGAAAAAAATTCATGCTTGAGTGAGCACTGCTCACTTTTGTAAAGTGTATGAAAATTTGGTTGCGCAGGAATTAGCCTTCCAATTTGTGAGAGGTAAATCCTTTGGTGCTTACAAAATGGAGGGTGATATGATACATTCATGATTTGCTGAGTGAATTTCATGGTTTATTAAACCAAAATTTTATGCACGAGTGAACAGGAATTTCATTTTTTTTATTGTAGCATTGTAACTTTCTCTGGTAGACTCAGTGGTGTGTTCATGGGAGTCAGGATGGGGTGATGGTACATGTTGTAATTTCCATCTTACACACTCTTATTTTTTTTTTTACATCTGTGGCTTTGAATAAAAACCTTCAACCCACATTTCAGTTATTGTAAGATTAGTTGAACATCTCATTGATTTACCTAATAACCAGCTGGGGATTATGTTAATTGATTATTCAAATACGGTTTGTTGAAAAAGGAATATCACAGATGTTGGCTACTTATTCTTCAGGTTACCCATTTACCATTTACAGAAACTCAAGTGCTAAAATGACTGGTTGGTTGGTTGATAGATTGAGTGATTGACTGAGTTATTGACTAATTATGATTGATTAATGGATTGACCGATTGACTGATACCGTACATTGTTGATTAAGTGATGTAAGCTGAATGTTGATTGTCTAATAAATTATCAAGATATGCAAAAGCACACCCAGGCAGAGAGAGAGAGAGAGAGAGAGATAGAGGGGTAGGGGCATACGTGTCCTCTTGACCCTTATCCCATCTACCCAACAAAGTCCTACCCTACATTTCACCTCCCCTGCACCATGTTCCATCACCCCGTCCTGACTCCCATTAACACACCACTGAGTCTACGGTAATAACAAATGCAATTCCTGTTCACTCATGCATAAAATGTTAATCCCATAAACCACAAATTTCACTCAAACCCAAAATCACCACAATTGATCATAAATTGGTCATATCATCCTCAATTCCGTAAGTTCCAAAGGATTTACCTCTCACAAATTGGAAGGCCAATTCCTGCGCAACCTAATTTTCATATCCTTTACAACAGTGACCAGTGCTCACTCAAGCATAAATTATGTTTAGACTTCTTGGTGTCATATGAAAGTTGAGTTTATGAGCTTTCAATACATATCAAAATCTTTCCCCAGAATCATATATTTTTTTATTCGGCAGCCATTTCAAAAGTGTATAGTTTTTTTTGGGACGCACTGTATACTGTAAGCCATTTTGGAGGAAGCACCTATACAAATGAACCCTGAATATATCCACAGAAATCCATTAAACATGGAGAAGTCCAACTTTAAGCATTTTAAAATAATCTCTGCCAAAGTGATGGAGGTGCTTCATGAACACCCTTCATTTGCCTTCTTTGAAACAAATATTTCCACCTGTGTATCATAGGAAAATCATCTCTCAGATAAAAACTTGTAAAAGCCCTTGAAAGAAAAAAAAAAAAGGATTTTTAGGGCTGTCTCTGACCCTTGACCCCTGACCTGGTACCCATACCCATGTGACCTATCCCATGAGAGACTGGCTACTTTGTTTTACAGCGCAGGTGGCCTTTATGGAGAGGTTTGACAGGTTTGACTGTATATCTTTGATAACATACAGCTCAGAGCAATGAGCCACTTCAGAGTTGCAATTTATTGGGTCCTTTTTTTCTCCTCAGATCAGTGGAATTCCAACACTGATGCCATCCAAATACATATAGCCTGCTCACATTAGCTTTATGAGTCTGACTTGCGAACAATTTAAAGAACAGTCATTGTTATCATTACCAGTCAAACAGAATGGGACTAGCATTTTGTTGCTGTTGATGAGATAACGAAATGCTCTAATATATATACACCATTCTCATCTTATCTACAATCCATTTCAATAATATTTTTGACTGAGTTAAAATCTGTTTAGAGTGTAGGTACTGTAAATCATTTACAAACAGAATGATGGTACAACTCACTCTAATTTCTATGATACATGCAAAAAACCTGACAGTGAAAGAGATTTTCTTTGTGTTTTTACCCTCCTCTTCAATCTTTTTCTCTCCCCTTGCAGGTCTTTGAGAAGGCTGTAATGACAGTGCTGAACCCGCCCAAGCCAAGGAGTAACAAAAAACCCTTATGTCGTATTATTTGAGTCCAGCATAGCGCCATCTATTGGCACTCCCATGTACAGTCCTTTTTTTTCTTCTTCGTTCCATCATCTATAACAGCTGTGGTCCACTTCCGTTTCACGTCTTCTGTATCTAATCTCTCTGCTGCACGTCGGCGACGGCATCGTACGCAGAGCGAGAACTTTGAGAATCGTTCAGTGGACTCGTATGCAGGAGAAAGAGGGGCTTCGTTCGGACTCTGTACAGAAATAATTTACCTGCCATAAAAATGGTTGATAAATACTTCTCCAAGGCTCTTCTTTCTCCTCTATATTGGGACGGATAAGCTGAATTTTGTAGCAGCTTGGAATTGTTGACTAATATGCTTCTTGTTGCCCGTTTCCATGGCAATGAGATGCGGTTCATCCTGCATCGTGACCATTATACTAATAGGGGGAGCGTATGCCTCCTTGGGGAAAGCCACATTGGAGCTTATTGTGTTATTAATCTTAGTTTTATTTAGGGGAAGCACCTCGGGGAGAAATGCCTTCAAGATGAATTGAAATACTGTATTTTGTTGGATCCCTTTTCTTAACAAGCAGCCAATCTGGGGCCCGTTTCACAAAGCCTTTTTTCAATGACAAATGTCAAAAATCAGTGACAAATCTGCTGATAACCAATCAGAAGCAAGGATTTCAGTAGCTTATAACATCAACTGTTATTTGTCACTGATGACAAGTTTTGAAACGCCCCCCTGAATCAGGTGTTGATCAAAGAGTGATGCGAGTTTAGAGAAAATATGCCTAGGCTTATATTTATTCCTAGCAACAGTTATGTATTCCTTGATATGATCAGTAGCGATGTATTAGACTCGATGGTCCATGCATCGGCAAGTCCAAGTCATTTGGCCCTTTAGTGTCCCACATGTCACCAAGTTTTATGGTATCATGAGCATGAAATTATCATCAGAAGAATAATTTACTTTCTATTTGGTCTGATGCAAGCTCCAGTAGGGTTTGCAAATTGATGAACTATTCAGGTACATGCATACTACATAAACTCTTTTGTGATCTGTAATGTATGGGACAATAATAGCTTAGATTTGCCGACATACGGACCATACAACCTAAACCTTCAAATTTTCATCCAGACAATAAATTTAAGGTAAAGATATCTCTCCTGCTGCCACTTCTACGATAAACATTCTCATCTGTCTGTACAGTGTTATCCCAACAAATTTTGACATACGTGGGACTAGGACCATTCGTCGTGTGTAATTGTCTGTCGTTTTATACTTCGCTATGCATTTATACAGAATGAGAACAAGTTTTTGTTGATATATCAGGATAAAGACCATCAAAATCTTTGCATTCTCACACAATATGGAATTCTCGAGTCCAAAAAAAAGCAATTTTTAAATTAACTTATAAATATCTATACATCTATATATATATAAATATATATATATCTGTTGTAAAAAATAATATGCATGATTTTCTTCCACCTTTAAATGTTCAAATGGTCACTAGAATATCACTTTTCATTGAGAAAATACCGGTATTGATTAATAGTGTTAGCTATATGCTTTAGTCCTCTACACTTGTGTTTATATTCTTTGTATATATACGTACAGTATCCCTATCTCTCTTTCTCTCCCTGTATGTTATTTTCTAAGTGTCTCTCTCTTTTGGTGTACTGACAGCAACTTGTATGTTATTGATGATTTTGATGGCATTTGGGTTAGGTGAAGGAAATCGTACACTTTTGAATGACATTTTATAAAAAGGTTGAAAAAATGAAAAAAAGTGTTCTTTAATGACCCCAGAATAAGTTATAGTTGGTCATGACATCCTTTAGCATCTAAATTGTCCAGAAAAGCCTTTTCTGTATTAAACTTTCAGGACTACCCGGGGCCGACCTTGCGAGTAAATAGTAGATTGGTCAATTTTGGTTTATCAATGAATATTAGTGAGGCACATAGAAAGCAAATGCAAGAACTACACCTGAGCTTTGGAAGAAACTAACCCTCTGTAACATCGCCAGGTTTGATTCTTTCGTTTAGAGGCACATAAGGCAGTAGCCCTGCAAAATGGTGTGATAACATTTTCTAGCCTTATTCATATATGTGTAAATATCTACTACAATGATTTGAATGAAGTAATTATAGACAAAATTGGAAGGAGAAAATGAGAAAGGAGAAAAGCAGAAATATTGTGAGGATATACATGTGTGCCTGTTGATGTAAAGTGAAAATTGAAGTGGATTTTTTTTTGCCCAAACTTTGATAGGAAACACATCTGTCAGTTGTTGCAAGTAAGTATTGTTCGTTTTTTATTCTCTTTCTGTGTGAAATTGTGAATTTGAATATGCATTCTTTAATGGAAATAGTATTAATGATATTATTGTGATGCTCTAAGAATTAATTTCCTTTTTTAAAACAAATTTTGTTGTGCAGGCACAGAAAAAGTGATGATTTTTGTAATTTTGTTTTGTACAGGCACGGAAGATTTGTTAGATTTGCAAGGAAATGGAGTTTTAGTGAGTTAATTTGATTGAGTTGATCCTGGGACTCACTCATTAGGTGGTCAGGGCTGTAACCACAAGGCCACATCTAACCTAGCCACTTCACTGCGTATTGTTTTTTTTTTTTAATGTAGAGGCAACATGTTGACTTTAGTTGTATAATATATTCAGTTCTTATATAATGGTACCAACAATGTTTGAATTAGTGAGCATGGTTTAAATAGTGCACCTCTGAACTTCTTTCTTCTTCTTTTTTGTTGAAGGAGGTAAAAGAAATAAACTCGATACTTTTATTTGAACTATGACTAATCATGTAAGAAATGTGCGAGTTTCCCACTGTCCTCTTAGCTTGACGCTAGAGAGAAAATTGCATTTTTAAACCGATCTTGTTGGATCTACATGCAATAGAAACATAGAAGCCCATCTTTTGCAGCATTTCGTACTTATTTCCTTCTTTGTAGCATGGTATTCAATGATTATTTTCTCTTATTTTATCACATTAATGTTTCCAAGAACGATTGTAATTGCAGTGATTCAAGATCTATTGAATTGTGTAAAGTCTGGTAGCTTTGGGAAACGAAGGGGCATTGAAAAAGACGCGTCCGGAATACAAAGTGCATAATTATTGAAGATTCTTGTCTTATTCCATTCCGGTAGAACCCTTTACAACAGAGCTAGTAAGCCTGTCTTCTACAGTGAAACCTGTCTATAAAGAACACCCAAGGGAGGCAAGTATAGTGGTCTTTATAGGCAGGTGGTCTTTATATTAAGGTGGTAACTAAAGCAGGTTTGACTGTACCTTGATTGGACAAATTAATTCCATAAAAAGTCATTGAAGCTTATCAAATTGCAACTATTCATCCACAGATACACAAACTATGTGTGTATCTTGTATTTTGCGTGCTAGACGCATCGTATCGTTCCACTTTGTTTCGCTAAGCTGTGGTTACACATCACAAGTCATTCCTTTTTTTTCCTGCTTCAAACAGATGAATTGTATGTCAAACACCAACAAAATAATGAGATTCTCCATTTTTCTATTCTATCTGTTCCTTGTTGGGTATGAAATTTCAATGATCAATTTTGCATATTTTTAGTTCTTTTATTTGTTAGTATAATCCTTCGCTAAATTATGTTTCTTTTCTAAAAAAATCACGCCTGTTCTTCCAAACACTTTCTTTTCTTTTCTTTTTTTCTTTTACTAGTTACTGGAATTTCTTGGGAAGATAAGTGACGCCAGTTTTGTGTTATGTGTCGAGTTCTGATGAAGTATATTAGAATGAAAATTTGTGTATGGGGAATTGGTTTCGAAAGAAGTGCTTGTAAGTCTAGTACCATAGACATACAACAGAATTGTTAAATGGACATTAAATCTAGATTGTCTTTTTTACCTATTATGAAATTGACCTTGTGAAGATTCACTTCTGCATTTTTTTGCGAAACAGTCCGAAGGACAAGTTCGCAGGCATCACGTTATAGCATGTGTTACCGGTAATTTGAATACAAGCATTTCAGTGGCATTTCGAACTTGTACTGATAAACAAATTTTGTGAGCTGCTACCCAGATAATATGTACATGTATATTATGGATGCTGATACCCATTTTTATGTATGCTGCATGATAAGTAGCTATACACAAGGAAGCATCTCACAAAATGTTTTATTCATCTGTTTTTACATATCCTTCTAGGGCTGGTTCGATGTCACCGATAACGAAAACCATGAAATTGTTTCCAAATCGGTCTCCTGAAGTTTATAAGGAAAAGGGGTTCGATATTTTAGTTGTATGTTACGGCTCACCATTTTATGCTAATGAGAATGGATTGAAACAGATAATTCAATATAAGTACCAGAAATCTGAAAGGTAATATCTGCGACTCATGAGGAATAAACATACTGAGAGTAAAAAGCTTCATTTTATGTTCTTGCATCTGTCTTTTCCACAATTCTCTTAATGAAATTGTTAGCTCTTTAACATTGTATCCAATATAATCTGCACTGTGTATATTTAGTGAACATTTTGTAAATTTAACATTTCGAAAATGATTCAGTTTGAATGTGTTCTTCTGTAGGGCTGAGCAAGGGATCCAAACTGTGCAGGTTTAGAGCTGACAGGACTCTTCAAAGACTTTTGAACAATTTGTTTGAAGAATTCTTTTGAAGGATAAAATCTTTGAAGAAAATGTATGGATGTTTTGAAGAATTTCTTAAGACTTTTTTTTAAAGACTTTTTTTTGAAGGAAATTAATGGTATTGTTGGAGAATGGAAGCCATGTCAGTTTCTGGATTCTGTGTGAGAAACCAAAGAGCTTGTATCGAATCTCAAGTCACTTAATTGGCTGCTGTACGCCTGTGTATGAAAATCACTTCTAGATGAGATATAGGTTAAGGTGTTTTGAAACCCTTTCCTCTTCATTCCACTAGAGTTCAAATCTGATGCGAGATTCAAGCTTGGTTTATGTCAAGCTTATCAAAGGAAGTTAGAGTGAGGTCTAAGTTTTCCCCTTGTTTGTAACGACTAACGTCCTGGCGTCTGGTCTAACTGCAGTCATACCTCGGTCACACCGCCAAACCGACTCAAGACCGACTTTTCAGTCTGTTTGTCAGTCTGGCGTCGGTCTTTTCAGTGTGACTATGGGTACAATTCAGGCATTTGAATGTAGAAAGTACATCATTATCCATAGCAAGTCCTATTACAAAACTTCAAAGCTCAATTGGTTTTCTCACTGGGAAGTATAGACGACTCTAAAACTTTGCTGGTACCGGTATAAACAAAATGTTTTGGAGTTGACCAAATACTCCACTTGAATGATAGCAACGTAACCAGATATCATAAAGATGTGTATAATGTGTAATTGTGTATTGTATTGTAATCTATTCTTGTATATAATACAGAGATAAGACGGGGGAAAAGTCAGTATACCAAATGCACCAAATGGATAGATGGTGCTCTTTGGGGCCGTGTCTCTCCCTTTTTTGTATGCCTCCAACCATTTTTTAAAATTGAAATTGTAAGGTGATGGGCACATAATTATTATTATTTTTTATTTTTTTGGCAGTGGAGAAGTTTACATGTAGCAAGAAAATGTGTGGCTGATGTTTTAATTATGTATGTTGATAATTGATGATGAATATGTTAATAAATGCCTGGTCTTTAACGCAGGAATTCAATTATGGAAATTGGAGAAATTGGAAATGGTATTTCATTTTGTGCGAGTGTGATGTTTGTCATGCTTATGAATTTCTAAATTAAAAGGACATAAAAGCAAACTTATCGCTCAATTCTTGCTCAATTCTTGAGATGAGATGATATTTTACATCGGTGCAGAGCAATTCATATTGCATGGAGATGACTAGAAAAGATTAGAAATACGTGAGAAGCTCAAATGAAAACAAAAAAAGAGAGCAAAGTTTGTTTTTAGATTTTATTACATAATGAAAAATTGGATATTATACATCATATTTTGTACATAAATGACATTTTCCATGTGAACAATATCATCCACTTTCTTCTTAGTATTATTTTTATGAACATTAGTACTCCCAGTTCTACAAGTAAAAAAAGAGAAGATGTCTCTGATGGAGTCAAAAGAGCGTTAACCCTGTTTGAAATGATATGAACTAACGCTCTTCTGGCTTCAAACGGACAACAACAACAACAGTTATATACACAACATGAATGATACATTCAATATCGAGATCATAAAGTATGAATCACGTTTTCTTCTTAAGCTCTTCTTATTCTCTCTACTATTCCTCATCAAGATTCGACAATGAGGGCTGCCTGCGAAAAGGTCGTTAGAGCTGTGTGCGCATTTTGATGGCAGTAATGCCTTCTTGCGGGGGCTGCTACTCACATTTTGTTTACCAAGAGCCAGAAGGGCGTTAATGATAAAATAATCTCATTTAAATGCGCTTCGGGATCCAAACGAATGATTTTTTATGAAACCTAATCAGGTTGGGGCAATAAGGGTACAACTCCAATTGGCAGTGTTGTTTTTAGAACCCCCTCACCCTGTGAAAAGGGTTCTAGGAAATGAGAAATGTAGAAAAATAGCACCTTTGCATTATCCTTCTTTGACTATTATCATATTAGGACTGCTTTGATGGTATCCAAACTTCTTTTGAAGCGCATAGGGACGTAATATCATAATGTGATATGTGTTACAAAAGAACGGTTCATTATCAGTTATCATTAATAATTCTAACCTTGTTTAACCAATGTGAAATATCAAGCTGATTCAGCACTTTAGGAGCAGGGATAATATATCTCAATTTTCCATTTGTTTTAAGATACATGTTATATCTGGGTGTAGTACATGTACATCTATGGACAACAGATGAGATTAAAATAAACCCGATTTGGGCCCTGTTTCATAAAACCATCAATTTGATATAAAATAGTAGAGAAAATAGAGAATTACGTGTATCCCTCCATTTTCTATAATCTTTCACATAACAAGTACATAATTTATTTAATATATAGTCATCGAAGTGTATAAAGAGTGTATTGCTATGGGGGTAATACATTCTACACGACAGCAGTTTGTATTATCATTCATATGTTCATATCACACTAAAAATACTCTGCACTACATAGCATAGCACTAACACTAGATTTAACACCAGTAGAAAGAAGATCGATACACCCTGGTGTTAAAAATGAAAATGTTCTAATCGATGTTTGAAAGAGCATACATATACTGTATATATATATATATATATATATATATATATATATAAATTTTGAAATCATTCCTCTACAATTTTGAAAGAGAAAAATAGACATCTGCCTAGAGCATGCTTGGGGCAAGACTAGTGATTGTATGAATAGTCTCACATCAAGACAAAGCAAAAATAGCACTGATGACTTCATCTATGTTACAAATATTTGATACTCGTTTGTTTCATCAGCTACGCATATGCATAATTAAACACCAAACAAATCTGAAGAAGAATATAATCGGTGTCATAAATGGTCCATAAATGTAAATGCCCGATTTAAGAAAAATTTGAAAGCAACTCCATACCTATGACAACTATACTCAACGTCTCTCACAAAGGTCATTCACCCAAAATTGAAAGTTCATTCAAACTTTTTTTCTTCATTTACTTTAAGCAACACAGCGAGACATTTGAGGTTAAATTGGTACTTGAAGCAAAAGTAGGAAAAAAAAGAAGCTTTGAAATAAGTATGCAAAGGATTTAAAGACTTGTACAGGAGCACAAATTTTAAACCGAACACTTTCGTATTAACACCAAAGGCGCCCCTTTTCACCAGGGGTTTATATAATAGTTACTTAACCATACACCGATCTCAGGAAATATGGTGTAACACAATTCTACTTTTGACAAACAAAGTGAAGACTTTCACATGAAAAGAAATATTAACTATTTTGATCCCAAAAGCTCAAATTACACCAAGTTTATACCAGACAGAACTTAAAGGATTAAAGTGACAGAAAAGTGCATTTCTTCATCGAATCATTTTGGTTATGACAATATATCCTCTCACGTTGACCACTTGAGTTTTATAAGTTAATAAGAAACTAGTTTTAGTTCCAAGTTTAATAATGATAATCTCAAACAGCAGTGATTATTGAAATCAGTTCCTCACTCTGGCAGGCGTGACGAGATGTACAAATAACTTTCAAAGAAATCACACCACAAATATCCTACTTTTTAAAGCAGAACAGCCACAAACTATGCCTCGTACTGCAACCATGATGCAAGCTTTAGACCTTTAATTTTTTTTTAACTAGTACCCTTCTAGCACATAGCACACATGAACTGTTAAAAAGAAGGGGGAAAATATGTTTTTAAAATTAGCCAATCAATGCTTTCCCTTCAAGCTAAACCTAAAAGCTCTCTAAAATACAACTATCCTTTTATATGTGATCACTAAAGAATGCAGACAACATTGACCATCCGATTTAACAAGTTTCATTAATTGTACGCTACGAACCCCTAGATAGTCCCACTATATACAACAAAAGTGTCGTGAAATTGAACAACTCTCATAATAATTCACAAATGAGCAAGCACAGAGCGTTAACTTCTCAAGTAAAATTCATCAATGAAAATGATTTATATGGTGCAAAATATCCACATAGGTCTTCTTACGATCCATCTACACACAAAATTCTACTTATCTGTGGTCTTGTAAAGACCATCATCATATACTTTGAGAGGCATAAAGGCATTAACTGAGTGTTTATTGATATAAGTTAACACCTTTATGACTCTTCAGCTGACTAACTAACAGTCTAAAACCACTAAACATACTAATCAAACTTGATAGGCAATTTACACTATTCAAACAGAACAAAGTGCTACGAACTAAAAAACAGCGATATTAAAAGTAAACATACTAGTGCCAAGATATTATATGTAGCTACTCGATATAAATACATGAAAAAGACTATAACTACTTGTATAAAATGCAATAAAACATGATTTTCATGAGCAAAGAAAAGTGCATGAGGTGCATGGTGATAAATAACAATGTTATGAGGCAGGAAATTGCAGAAGGTTCCAACAAGACTAGCGGTTGGGTCGCTGAGATAGCAAATAAATAAAGCATCTTCTTCCAAGGGATGAAATTGTTTTTATCCTTGTAAAATCTAAGATTTGGAATGAGTTTTGAAGAAGAGAAAAACAAATCTTTATCCTATACCCTTTCTCCCCACATTTCAATAGTCTCTAACCCAAGATATTTCACAAAGCTATGTTTGAGCATTTTAGCCAGTCTTTTGTCTGTAAAAATATTCCCAACAAAGTTTTAATGATTTGGAGTATATTTACAATACTTGTACGATGGCAAAGAGGTAGGTAAAAAAAAGAAGAAGATAATCTTTTGCAATTTACAGGTACATGTACATGATACATCACAATTGGGGGAGGGGTACCATTGGACAATGCATCCACTTTACCCTAAAAAAGTACATTGTATCTAACATGGTAATACCAACAAGTTTCAGGTAAGTCATTTAACATTTAGTTTCATCATTACGAAAAAGTCATTTAACCCGAGTTTTGCTTCCCAAAAGATAATCTCTACATTTTTACATGGTGAAAAGTTGTGTAACCCTAGGTTTACTTCCAACAGAAAATTCTAAATATATGAAGGAAATTTTGATCTAATTTTTCTTTAGTTTGGGCATGGTTAAAGTGCATCATACGCTTTAAAAATGTCCAGTTTGTATTCCACAAATATTCTACTGCTAATACCAAAATTATTCAAATCGCTAGTATACTTGATATTAAGCTAGTTGTTTGCTAAAATTTGTAAAGAGTCTTTTGTATCAACAGGGAAAGCAGGGTAGAACAAATGGAGAACCAAAGTTCTAACGCCATATTCTCTTGTTGTCCAGGTTACTGGTTCTTAGCAACAGAGCCTGCACATGAGGTTCACCGAAAACTCTTTCCAGCAACGGGCTGGAGCAGGGCTGTTTAAAGTGTTTGGGGCTGGTGTGATCAACTAGCCATTGTCTAGCACAAAATTGTTTGAAACCAGCAACCTCGACGACTGGGCCGGTATGACGTCACACCTCGGTACTCTATTTGAGTGCAAATTGTAAACTATAACAAAAATTCTTCAAAAGCATGGCATTGCAATATTGCTAATGGTTTCTTTCTGTTCTGAGCAAACTTAATATGGAGGTAGATAGAGGAAAAAAAATACTGTAAAATGATAGCAATTTCAGACACATTGTTACCCTGAATAACTAGCTCACTTTTTTCAAAAAAATGTGTACATCATGTTTCATAGGGGAGAGGAAGAGGGAGAGTGAAGGGGGGGGGGGGGGGGGGGGGGGGGGGTAGGGATCACAAAGAAAAAAATAACCACCATAACAACCCAGTTCTCAACTTTTGCATCAATGGTATAAACAAAAATGAAAAGATTTTGCAACAGATGGTGTTTTGAGCACTCAAGATTAGAAGGGGCATTGTTGCCACAAAAAAAAAAAATCCCATTGAAATTAACATGCAACGAAAGTATGATTTTTGCCTCCAGTGTGCATCCAATAGTTCCATGGATATTTGCCAAACATTTGTGATAACCTTATTTGTGTCTTGTAATGATCTGATGAAATTAAACTTTTTAACATATCTCTCATTGAACATTACTTTCCATGGATAGAAAATTCAAGTAGAAATACATAACAGAATATTTTACAATCAAGTTCTCAAATAATCTGCCGCGAACCATAAGCAATCAAGAAATAAATGAGCATTCATTCAAAATAAGAAGCCCATGGTCCGCAAAACACAGCTTTAAGTTGGTCATCCATGTACAACATTCAATTTCTTTCTTTCTTTTTTGTTACAAATCACAAAATACTTAGAACCTTTTACCTACCTCGTAACGAAATTCAGATACAAAAAAAAAAACGCTGTTACTAACAGCGACATGTAGTATTAGTTTCCCTGAGTTATAGCGTACCAATATGGCACATTATCACCTCGCCTCTTCCTCAACTTTTTAGTATTTACAACAACAAAACCAAAGATAATAGATGGCAACTGCAGATAGATTTATAAACAATTCAACCAAAATGTGAGAAAATAACAACCAAAATGCACTTGACCTGTCTTTAGTGGCCATCTTCGCTATTTTAAGATGACCTGGGTATATGGGTTCATTTATGCGGAGTTTCTCTGGCATAAAATATGAGTTGCTGGACCTGTGTGGAACCTGTCTACAGTGGTCACGTTTACAGCTTCCCTAGAGTGGCCATTATAGACAGGTTTTGATGTACCAAGTTAACACTAAATGCTATATCTCTATGCACTTCTACACTTCTAAACCACCTCATTATGTGCCCTTTACAAAATTGACTGAATTCTTGAATTCTTTATTCATATTTTTGCTTAGGGCACTATACTGATCAGTGTACAACCAAAAGTTTATTTTCAGGCCTTTAATATTTAAAACTGAATTCTTACACCTTACACCAATGGAGACACTAGCACTATATTCACATTGGTGTATGGTGTAGGTGCTGTGTTAGTCTTCATCAAGACAAGCGATAAGGCTCTACTTTTCAAACACTCTTTGTTGGCGTTATAAACTGGACATAACATTGGATGGAATTATACTCATATTATTGACGTTCAAATGCCACTTTTGGTCAAGAAAGGTGAAAGAATCCTCCTGGATAAAAGGGATCAATCCTTCTCTGAATAGGGACTCTGTTTATTCATTGTAACCTATCTTTTTTTCTGGTGATCATTAGGCAGCAGACAGCAAGAAAATGTGTGAATAATCACTTGGCTTGAGAAAGTCCACAGGAGTGGGCGAAAGCTTGCCAACTAAATTTTAAGGCAGGTAGAAACTTGAACTACTTATTATGATTACCCAAACAATGTCAGGTTTCTTTATCACATATACGCGTTGGCCATCACACTCGTTATTAGAAATTTCTTAGAAACCACTTTGAACTTTTGAAGTTCATTCATCATTCCAAAGTTTACTTGCTACATTGTAATTCATAATTATAAACCTCAAACATTTTGCTGTCAATTTCATGGGAATCATTTTAAGAATATTATTTGACACGTTTGTCGAGAGTCGGAGCGGCATTGACTCACTTTGTTTTGCGCAGAGTTATTGCCCTTCTGGCTCTCAACAGAGGTCACATGACATACATCACAAATTAACCATTATTAAAGGGAGAGTCCACCCTGATATTAAGTTGGTTTTAATAGAAGCAGACAAACTGGGAGGAACCGGTCAGCGAAAGTTTGAACAAATTCAGTCTTGACACAAGACTCAACTTGCAATAAGTTATAATTGTTTCCATGGAAACATAAGGACTGGCACGGAGCAGCTTAAAATAATAGCACATTAGATAAATCTGTCTTATGCTGTAGTACGCTTGACAGATCTAGATCTGTTCCTTCTCTCGCTACAGATTTCAAGCACAAAGAGAATAAACAAAAGCACAAAAAAGAGACAAAAACTCCCTCTTTTGTCGAACATCATCAAAGCAATGCATAGGAGAAAAAACATCAGTATTAGCTGCATAATTCTGTACAAATATCATAAACCTACATGGAGTTCATAATAACATTCAATAGGCACCCGTCAGTTAGTATTTTTTTTGTAGTTTTTGTTCTTAGTCTGTATAATCACTGAATATATACACTGTATGTGATACAGACAAGAGATACAGAGAATCGCATCAATATAAATACCTGATAAAATAATTTCCCCCTCTTCTTCACCACAACTCTGAGCAATGCCCATGGTTCGATGCTTCATGTTGCACACGTTAACACGCTAAAAGGCAGAATGTTGGTTGAGAGCCAGAGAGATGTTAGTCGATTATTTGGGACTAACGATCCTCTAGCTCTCCAGATCCTAAGTGTGATGTTCCAGGAACAGTATTATTAGTCTGGCCCAACTTTTCTGGTCCATATAGGTATCCGCAAAGATTATGCCAATCCATGTCCATTAAAAAATGGCAGAAAATGATCTTCCCATGCTTCTTAACCTGCGAGGACTACATGTATACTGTATGACCCTGTATTTAATATCTAAAACTAATGTAGATATCCTCCGGTTTAGTTTATTCTTTCAACATATTTCTTCACGATGAAGGATATATGACTTGATGAAATGCATCAAAAATCCATGCCATAGATACTTATCAACCTGAAATTGGGAAAGAATGATGAAAATGTGATTTCTAGATAATTTCTTCTATGGAAAATGGGAAGATTTCTTGATTGAGCGGAAGTTGGAAAAAAGAGTGTCATTTGTGGACTAGACTGCTCCTGGTTTAATACACTCTGTCTGTTTAAAGCCAGAAGGGCCTAACTTTGTGTCCAAGTAAATGAATTATCGCCCCCCTGGCTCCAAACGGACGATTTTGATCTATTTTGTGTACTTGATAACGGTGCTGTGCGTGTGAAAGTGAAACATGGGCTGTGATAGTCTTTGAGTTCAGACATGAGTCACTGTTAGCTGTTGATCCTGACGTGATGAATGTTATCCTCTCGCTCCTGTTTCTCCATGAGTTTCATGAAGTTATACCGCTGGAAGAAAAGGTCCCTGGCGAAGGCATATAGCTCCAGGTCCAGAGGGTTCACCGCCCGCACCCCCTCCACCTCCGAGTCCTGTATCGGCGAGGCGTTTGCTATGGTCAGATTGGCCTGATATAGGGGGGTGTTGAAGTTGATCTTAAACGTCCTCTCAAACAAGTACTGCGATTCGCGCTGGAATTCCGTCAACCCAAAGAAAGCCATGCTCTCCAGGTTTGCCTTTGCACTGGACAGCATGATGAGGTTCCGCTCCTGCATCGACATCCCCGTCTTGTTATAGCAATTAACGAGCTTGAGGTCCGCGAGCATGCGCGTTTGTCTATTGTTGGCCATGTTGGACGGGCAGGCCATGAAGTCTTGCAGCGACACGCCCATCCACGTACTGCTTTTGAAGCACCGTGGGATCTCTTCCTCCGATGCGACGTGTCCACCGCACATGTGGCGTGTCATCTTCCACGTGGCCCCCCGCTGCGTGTGCCTCCATTCGCTGATGTACCTTGAAACGGGGTTGCGTACCATGGTGATGTAGAAATATCTGCAGTGATACAAGAAAAAGAAAAAAAAATAGATCAAACAGAAATTTCCATACCTCATCATCGATAAGTGACATCTCTTTCAATGAGAGTTTTAGAAAAAGAGTTCCTGCAGATGATGATGAAATAATGAAAATATTGAAAGGATATGGTTTGAAGAGAAGTGATACGATGCATAAAAGTGCTTTTAAAAGTGTCAATTGCAAATAGCCTCAAATGATCTCTGGCTAAATATGTATCAAAACTATTTTAGGTATGAGGCTGTAAGCCCATTATAAAGAATGTTAACGAGACCAAATAATGCCTCTTGCCACTCATTTATGCTGTATATATTACATTTTACTTAACCCCTAAATATTGCTTCTTGCCATTCATTTACATGATCAGTTTAGCCAAGGTCGGCTTTTGAGGCTGTATGTAATCATCAAATCTTGGGCCTGTTTCATAAAATGTGTTATCTCTAACAAATGCTGGATTTCTATGACAAATTTGTTCTCAGCCAATCAGATGCCATGATTTCAGTAGCTTATAACAATTCTTGTAACTTGTTATTGATATCAAGTTTTATGAAACAGGGCCCAGGGGGGCATTTCACAAAACTTGTCATCAGTGACAAAAGACGGTTTTTGTTATAAGCTACTGAAATACTTGCTCCTGATTGGCTATCAGCAGATTTGTCTTTGATTTTTGTCATTTGTCATTGAAAAAACGCTTTGTGAAACGCCCTCATGGACAGTACTTCAGGGAACCTTACCTCCTCCTGATTTTAATCCTCTCCTTCTTATCCATTGCTTCTGGTACACAGCCCTGCAGCTCTGTCCAGTCTGCATGAAGGCCACAAAGCCAGCCTGTCGACATCCTGCTGAAGAGCCATATCTGGTGCTTGCTCGAAGGACGGTAACAGGAGCACCGCTTGTGGGTCTTGATGCACTCGCACGGCGAGCTCAGGTCCAGGTTCCGCGTCAGGTGCTTCCCGAGGGTCGTCCCGCCCGTCTTCTGCATGTGCAGGAAGACGATGACATCGTTACCGTTGATGTGGAAGATCAGGTCGCGGTCGAGGACATCATCGGGGAAGTTCTGGTGATGGTACTCCGACGGTTGGTGTAGCTGGGTGGAGGTGATGGAGAGGGAGTGACGGCCCGTGGCATAGTGGACATACTTGTGCTCCGTCGAGCAGTTGTAGATGATCAGGGCCAGGGTCAGGAGCAGGGACAAGACAAAGCCGTATCGCCACTTGCGCAGGATCGTCGGGAACGGCTGCATGACAGAGAAGACGTCTGGATCACGATTACCGATCAAAACATCTAAGATGCGCCCTCGCATGGGGGAAAACAAATCATATGTCGCGACTCCTCTTCGGTACAATCGTTCTGGCTGAACTGTACGACAACTACTAATTAACTTGTTTCTCGTAGCTATTAGAGGAAAAATGTTTAAACTGTGTCTCAAGATATAGAAATTAACTTATGAAGAAAATAAATCACTTCATTCAAGATAAAACCATGGCATTGCTTCAAAGCTTGATCAAGTTTGGTCCAAGGTTATCCACAGTACAATTTCCAGCTTTTTAGAAACCACCTGCATAACTTCTCTGCACCATTCTTAAGAGCTGCCCAACAGCATCAAGGTGTTATACTTTTCTTGCTAAATAACCTACACTACGACGACCTCATCAAAGTCAGCCTAGTTCATCCATCCACAAGCATTCCGCTGGCCTTGCTCGAATCATACAGCGCCGGATCCGCGAAGCCATTCATGAATGCTGCAAGGATGCGTAAGGGCTTGGCATCGTCTCAACCAGTGAGGGTGTCTTCTCACGAGCAATCAATCGGATGCCTTGCTATGCCAAGCTCACCGCCGTATCGCTCTGATCAAAATGAAGTTTGTTAGAGGCGTCCCGCTGTGAAGTTATATAATTGGCAATCTGTGCAGAGAGGTGAGAGAAGAAAAGAAGGTTGATCAACTTAGAGTGAGAAAAATAAAACAGCTTTATTGAAAGTACATTGAAGGCGGGCATGGCAGGGATGAGTTTGCTTCGGTCTTTATGAAGCCAAATTGAGAGAGGGCTGGCTCACTAGCTTGCCAATGATCGGCTTACGATGAAGAGAGGAATGAGAGACTGATATCGGTCCAGTATGGACTCTTGCAGCCACGGCAGATTTCTGCCTTGGGAGCCAAATATAGTTCACTATATGCAACTCTACAAATTGAAAAAACAAGAGTAAAGCTTTGGTAATCCAAAAAAAGAATAAGTTTGGAAAGTATACCCAGTATATTTTATTTGATCTTCATATGTCCATGTTCCCTCCAATTTTTACCTACCTTCTCTCTCTCTCTCTCTCTCTCTCTCTCTCTCTCTCTCTCTCATTAGCTCCCCAATTCTTTTTCACTCTAACTCTTGATCCTTGTCATACCCTGTATCTCCATCCCTCACTCACAATCTCTCCCTGGATCTCTTTCTTCCACTCTCCATCTCTATTTCTATCTCTATCTCTATCTCTCTCTCTCTCTCTCTCTCTCTCTCTCTCTATTTCTATCTCTCTCTCTCTCAGTTTCTATCTGCCTGTCTGTCTGTCTGTCTATGTCTGTCCGTCTCTCTCTCTCCTCTTTCTGTTCCTCCATCTTTCCAATCTTCATTTCTCTCTCAGTATTTTCACTTGTCCAAATCTTTCTACCTCAATGTATCTACAATTCTGTTCTCCCATCTCTCTCCATATCTTACATCATCACATACCCCTGACTATTAAAAAGTCTTGCCCTTTTCCTTTCTTTCTTTCATCAACCTTCCCTCTCCTTTCACCCATCCCCCTCTCATCGCCCCTCATCTCCTCTTCTCCATCTTAAATTTTCTCTGCTCTTTACCCAAACCTGACATCACTCACTCACTCACTCACTTGCTCATTTCATTATCGCTCTCATCTAAATTAGAGTGCTGCACTATTTTCCTCCACGTCATGAATATGCGAGCGATATTGATCAAGATGGCCAGATCATCAATCATAAGCACCCAAAAAATTGATCACCATACTTCTTCATCTTGCTCTAAGACGTGGTCTGTTCACACTGGACTGTTTCCTAATAACTACCACTAAACCAGACGGTTTTGCACTCATTAAATGCTTGTGAAGTTCACAAATGGTTCATGCCGCAAAATTCATCTTCATCTTGCTCTAAGACACGGCCTGTTCCCATTGGACTGTTTTCTCAAAACCAGACGGAGCTGCACTCATGAAATGCTTGTGAGGTTTGTGAATGGTTCATGTTGCGAAATTGTTGAACCACAACTGATCCAGCTCTGCACATTTGCATTTTGTTAATTTTTCTTGCCTTGTAAATAGCTCTTGTTTACGAGTGACTAAGGTTTGGGGTTTTGCTGTATCCACTACTGGTACATCTATCTCCACCCTTTCCCAATAACACATTGAGTGTAGCAGAACAGTAGGGGTAGTGAGACAGCTAGCATGCAATATTACTCAGTAAATGGGACTGCATAGTACAGCTAAACCATATTTCATCTCATTTAGAAATGAGCCCCATAAAAGGGTCCGTTCCCTCTGCTCTATCTCCAATGACCTATCCCCAATCCCAACCCCTTTCCTATACAACACTGCACAGCATCAGCACAGAAAATGCGATCCAACACAACGCGGTAATCAGTGTGTGGGACCACAGCTCAAATACATTTCAAAACAAGTCCCATGTCATTGAATATTGGATGTGAATATTGAAACCCGCTATGAAAACACCGTAGATAGGGCAAGAAGGAGGGTTCATTACCTCGCTTTGTTATTCCCCTTGTCTAGGGGAGACAATATCCTGGGGGTGATACAAACCCACTTGCCCATTAGCCTTCGGGCGACTTGAATGAGATCATGTGCAAGCGCATTCAAATCACGCACGTACCCAAAGTTGGTATGCACAGCCAGCATTACAATCTTTGATTTTAAAACATTGCAAACGGGTGAAAATCTGTGTTCGAGCACGGGTCATCAAAACCTACAAGAGGCAACCTTGGTAAACAACTAATCAACTTAAATTTACATAACAATAAATTTTCTATAATCAAAAATCTTTATAGAAATATAAAATTCTCCTATTCATCAATCTGAGTTTGGACACAAACTATTCAAAGTTCATTACATCATGACTTTAATAAACGAAAACAAAATGATATAAAGTTTGATGAAAATGTAAAATCAATGTCTATTATGCGTATTATTTCTGTAAAAATCAATTGGCATAATGTTATTACTATGATATTCATTAGTTTTATTATATTCATTCATTACTATCATTATATTCATATTTATTATCATTATAAATCATCATCTTTATTATGATTATTGTCATAATTTTTGTCAATATACTTAAATTATTCCATTACATTATGATATACTTAAGCAGTCTTTAGCATCAAAGGAAAATTTCATAGGGTTCTGCAAGAAATCAAAATTCCATCATAAATCAGAACTCATAACTAGTTTCAAATCTAGATTTTTTTTCTTCATCTTTGAACATGGCTCCAGATTTAAAATTACCCTCTTGCCTTCCTATGACTGTCACCCAGCTTCAGAAGTAAATTATCTCTCGCAATCATGCATGCTTGATTTATTTGCATCCGTCCAATGAATCTCTGGGGTCAAAGATGCTTCGGTGGCATCATACTTGTCTCATTTCATTACTTTATTTCTTCCATTTCTCCATAATAATCCATAATCAAATAAATCAATATAATCTTTGTAGAACACTTTTAACTTCTGTTCATTTCTCTGTCTGTCTCTGCATCTTAAAGAGATTACCGGTACTTTTTTGAAAATTCACCACTAATGAGTTCTTAGATTTATAACACTCCCACCCCCTCTTAACTGCTCCTCTACTTGTAAAATCCTCTTGATGATGCCCAATTCCCAAGAAATATACTTTCAGAGATAATTGCCTTTTTACTTCTGTCTATAAACTGAATGTGCGAGGCAATCATTCCCTTCAAGCACAGGAGACACTGCTTCAGAGAAATCGAAGTCAATGGGGAGATTTAAAAAACAATTAGAAAACAAAATACAAGAAGGAGAACAAACAGGCCAATTAGACCCTAAGTGGATATTAAAGTTGTTTTTCTTGTCATATGAATTGTTTGTTCTGAAGAAAATGACTACAGAGAAATGATTTCAAAAATGATTTTGCTATTCATAATCCAAAATAAAAGTAATTTTAAAAATCACTTTTTGGATTTACCATCTGATAGACTTTCACAAATAAAAATATGACTTCCCAACCTTTTGGCCATCAGCAGAAGATAGTAAAACCTAAATTAGAAATCAATAAATTGGATATGGTGTTTGCATTCATTCTTCTTTAGCTTAATGCAGAAGCAAACACTGCCATCTAATATATGTAAAAACATGACAAAGGAATATGACTGAGAAGGATTGACACAGCATCCGGGGTTAAATTGAAGCTATAAATATAATCATAATTGAAGAAGTATTGAGAGATAATATTTTTAAGAGAAAGTTGCATTTTGGTGAGGTTTCTAATCTTTTGTTCTGATGTGAAAGTAAATTATAACAGGAAAATCATCTGAAAAAGATTCCTCTCTACTTACACTCATTTTTATAAAGATATGTTTGAAACTTTTGACCGATTTCTGATACGTGCGTGTGTGTGTGTGTAGTTCCACATTTGTGTCCGGTGTCTTATACTATGAGCCGTTCTCAGCACGATTAAATCAATTTGTTTCATTTCAATGATTTTAAGTCCTCAAAAAATATACAGTGAGTACTGTTTACTATTAAACCATCCGTTCTGAATAGTTTCTGTTACAGACTGATTGCATGGCCAGAAGTCGATGTTACCTTTAAAGGAAAGTGGTAGGCTGTGTAGCTAATAGGCCTGCAGTCTATTGGGAGCCCATATCATTTGAAATCTTAATCTAAACTGACTGATTGCATTTATTCTACATTAATCTTAATGACGCATTCATCTCCGAGACGATCTTGGAATTCTTCAGCCGGAATTTTCCAGAGCAAGAGTGTGTTGTTTATTGTAACCCCTTTTATTCTATTCATGTGTCTCTTCAGATTATATCAGCATCAGAGCTTTTAAACAAAATTTAAAAACTCCTGTTAAAGCTGTTCATATTTGCTAGGGGATAACTATGGTTATTTTCACAAATTGTCCCAGGTGGCAAATATAGCATCATTTTTTTAGCTGGTTTCACAAACTGACAAATGTGCATACCTAGGTTAATTTGAACAATCAATAAGAAAATAACGACTTTTATATAGTCAAATTTCAATCAATGAACTTCTTTAACATGCACGTACATTGTTTTGCTAGAATGAAATCTTGATTGCCATGATCTAAGAGGCCATTTCCACGATGTAACCAAATTTAACGCATATATGACTTTGTGAAGTGCCTCCATATGAATGATTCCATTCACCTGTTCTGCATGCATTGTATCTCAACAGTCGGAGTATGAACTGCATTCATTACATACAAGGTAGGTGTTGCTAGGTAGGGCAAGCTAGAAACCTACTTGACAATTTCCTTTCCAATGACATAATCTCACTTTTGATGTGTTGATAGTGTCACCAATTGGTGTTGCATATAATAGGCATGGCCGCATATTGACACACACTGTCAGCCTCGTGTAGCCATCCCTAACTGACGGCCTGTGACAGGGAGTTGGGGGCGACCATTACATGGATGAGGGCAACAAACATCATTAACCAAGCGGCAAACAAGCTGCCTCGTTTTCGTCAAGGTCTGAATAAGACGGGTGGGTAGAAATTAATGAGGTTTACCGATAGCTGTGATGATCCTACGGAGAATAATCTCCTGTAGCCTTTTCGACCTTCATTAGATACTGTCACATGCTACGGTCTATGACGATGACGTGGTGATTGGCCGAGGGGATGAAAA